GCAGCATGTCGATCTTCTTTCAGATTTTCTGACTGCGCAAACATGATCATATCCATTGGAGGAGCTCGAAGGACCAACCTTGTCTGATTGCAACGTCGCAACGTCGCAACGCTGCACCGCTGCACCGCTGCACCGCTGCACCGCTGCACCGCTGCACCGCTGCACCGCTGCACCGCTGCAACTGGACATGATCTAGATACCAAGGCCCCTATTCATCGGTCTTGGTGCGGACTTTGGCGATTATGAAGACGCCACACGATGTGGGCTTGTCAGGGGTTGCCTGAAGGTGGCGCAAGTCTGCTGTTCGCCGAGTGGCACTCATCTCCAGAACCGCGATGAGGTGCATACCGCGGACATGATCTACAACAACAATGTCCTGCAACAATTCGCTATTGAACGATGTGAGGAGATGGCCAAAGACGTAGGCAAACGTTCGGCATTTGAGCAGCGGACATACGGGCTGCTGAACAATCTGCGGCTTTGATGCATTGGTGTCGAGTGGCACGCGCATCGAAATGCATTTCACTTTACGCTATTCGACACGGAGATCCCTTAATGGCCTTCTTTGCATCGTCTCATGTTTCCATGAAGAGGATGTTCGTTGCGCAACGGCGTCTCCCAGCGGAATATGTAAGAATCAGTTAGTCCAGGGGCTAGCTCGACAAGAAGCCCTCATGAAGCTGATTTGATGGGTCACACATCATGGGTCGTCTCTTCCAAGTCCGCCATCGATCCGCCATCATCACGGAACAGCGTCACGAAGCATAACTGGCTGTGCTTCAAGTCAACGCCCTTTGGCTGTTTGCCTTAGCATACATCATTCCAAAAGTATATGCTTCATCCGAATCGTCTCGAAAGCTCTTCGACAAATTATCTCTCACCCGCGGGATTGACTTTCGCTATATTCAGGGGTGAGAAAGTCTCTCACCTAAGAGGACCACATATCACATCCGTGTCGCCCCGTCAAGTGATCATTCTTGACAGAACCCTGGTGCTGCGATCGGAATTTTGTTCAAGACTTCAGGACTCACCTCGATCCCGTCATTACTCTGTCATCTTCTGCTTGGAGGTAGCCAAGCCTGACTCGCCCGGAACACGACTCCAACGCCTGTCCTTCAGGTAGTACCTCACCATGTATGCAGAATGGGTCTATGCTATACAATTTCAATACTCACGGCTCGATGTATCGGATTTGGTTACCAGCTTGCCGCTACACGGATTTAATGGGACAAGAGAAGGCATAGCTCATCACGTATCAAGATTTCGAAACTTACGACTGCGGACATGGGCTCGGGCATTATCGAAGCCACGCTCAAGAGTCGAAGACTGTCAACAACGGTATCACATACTGCCAAAGAGTAATGCGCGACATCACGGACTCGAGGCGAGGTAAGCAATAACGGGATGCTGCTGCGTGTGGCCAACTTCACCCATAACCCGTCTCAACTTGTTCCGGGTACCACCACAAAGGCGCATCGAATGCATTCACGACTGTCGAGCGTGCTTGCACTGCATGATTGCAGTTGCGCCTTTCCATTTCGATGCGCAACGCTGAACGAATGCATGCCGTGGGTGCAAGCGTGGGTGCAGACCTGGATGTGCGGACATCCGCTGCCACACATGAGCGACGTCAGACCGGACCGGCATGCAGCGCGAACACCACGAGTTAAAAGAGTCTTCAATGCTCCAGGAGATGTGCGCCATCGAGGCTACCCTGATCATACCGGGCTTGACGTACATGTCATGGCTGGTTGTCTACATGGCCTGAGATGTCACACACGCTCCAGAACGTGCAACTCAGGCTACAGGAGCGAGCTCAACGCGACGAGCAGCAGCTCACGCCTAAGCGGAGCTTCGTCTCACTGGCAGACCCCTGCCTCCTCGCCGCCGTGGACGATGTGAAGCAGTCTCTGCACTCGCCGCCGCTGCCCCGCCCCGCGTAATCCCCGCACAAGCACGCGCCCCTTCGCGCCTCGAAAATCAACAAAGGCCACCATAGCAACCTCGAAGTCCTTTGGCTATATAATTGCTCTAATCTTGCCAATATCTCGTACGGCGTTGGGATGGTGACCCAGCGTCGTACCCTGGCCGATGAGGCCTTGACAGAAAACAGTTACTAACTTGTGTATTCACCAGGGTTCGAAAATAGGCGGTGGAGTTCCCGCGGTTGAAAGTCCGTATTTTTGCTCTTTTTTGTTATCTTATTTGCACCGCGAAAGCTGAAGCTGAGCGTAGTGCGACTAGAGGCTGGTGCAGCCTTGTCATTTCTCTAATTGCTATTCCACTGCTAAGGTAAGATGTGATATCTATCTAGAGGCAGGTGCAACCTTTTGTGCTTGTGTAGAGTTCCTCTTGTATGCTTTCCTCGAGAGGCGAGGCGGGTTGGTTCAGCACGCCCGCTCTTTCGAGTCTTCGCTTCTGCAGCAGCAACAGCAGCAACAGCAGCAACAGCAGCAACAGCAGCAACAGCAGCAACAGCAGCAACAGCAGCAACAGCAGCAACAGCAGCAACTTCGTTTGCGAAGGACGTCTACTTGGACTTTGCCCTTTTGCGTCTAGGGATGAGACTTAGGAGAGATGCAGCTTCAAGGTAAGATGCTTTGACAGCAAGTCTGCGCTTGTCGGCGTGGACATGACATGCCAGCTGAAGGACTCGAGCGCGGACGGCTTAGGCCAGGACGCGGCTGCGACTTAATCCCCTCCAAGCGCAATATTAGCATAATTGCTATATGCGCGCTTCGCGAAGTACTACTGCAATTCTACGGCCACGATCTATGGGGTATCACGCGAGATGAAGCGATACGCACCGCTTGGTCGACTTCAGAAGCGTCAAACCGCACTTGACCGCTGCAACATTCGCCTTGAGGGCCTCGAGGATACCTGACGGCATGCGCAGCACAAAGATGTAGACATCACGTAGGCCTCACGATCCAGCATGCTGCTGATATGCCTCAAACTTCCATGGTGTGGATACTGCTGCATAGCTGCGAAGGTAGGTATGGGTTTCCTTTCTATCCATGTATCTTTCCTGCCTCATCTATCCATGTCTGATACGGTTCTGCGCCGCGACGCCGTTGTCTAGGTACTAAGAGCTATCCATTACGCCGTGTATCACCCCGTCTATGCCCAGGTCTAGTCCGGAGCGAGCTATCGGGCGCGAGGGTACTGCCAATGGTGCCAGTGTGGGCTGTCGCGTCAATCCCCCTTGAGTCTTCCGCCCCTACATCAGGCCAAGGCCAATGGGAGCTACAGCTCGTTCGCGAACAACGATGATCCGGCCATGCGAGTGTCCATGTAGTTCTGGACACTTGTAGCGGAGTCCACCTCCGGGTCGAGGAGTACGAAGCGCTCGCCCCGGTTTGAGGTGTTGCCGTTGTAGATGTACTCGACCCGCGTCGGCGCCATGCGGAGCTGTCGTTGACACAGCTTGCGGAGGCGGGTCAAACATAGGAGAATGTTGATCTCGAGTTCGAACTGCGCGTCGCGGGCCGTGGCGCTCTTGTCGAAAACTTCCTGTTGCAGAGGATTGGTTAGCCACGATTTTCTAGGCTGGGCGGATGTGCCTTCGAATCCCGACTTACTTGAAGATTCAAGGCAGTCCGAGCATGAAGCCTCTGTCTTCGCCGATCTCCCCAGGTCTGGTAGTGGGCGGCGCGCTCTCCCCAGTACTTGGCCCTGCTGTCGAGAGCTACGACCTCGCGCTGTATACCTTCGCAGATGACCATCTTCGCCACCTCATCTCTGCGTGTATCGGCCAAGTACCTCCTTGTCGCCTCATCCGACTTCTTTATCTCTGGCGCGGGCATGCCTAGCTCGTATGTACGAGTATCGGCTTCGTGTCCGGTCGCGGGGTGCTTGTAGGGACGGTGGTCTGTAAGGCAGCAAAAGGTGTCAGTCGCGGGTCGAAAAGCACGCTTTCGCTCGCGCAAAAAGACTTACTATGGGGTTCGGAGAGATATCCTCAACAAGATACCAAAGTCTTGGTCAAATCGGAACGTGGTGGTGCGGGTGTGTGGCGGGGTAGCGAGAGGGAGTTGCGTCTTGATAGAGGCTTCGTCAATACGACCCGACGCTATGACATTTCGACTGTACTCGTCAAACTCTTACACACCCGTTACAGAGGTATTTTGCATCTGCGACGGGTCGCACGACGAGGAGAAGATGCAAAGGGCCTGCGAAAGTCTCTTTCCAATTTCTAGGTTATCACACAATATACAGCTACCATTGGACTTCAGACGGCTGTTCACGTCCGGACGAGGAGCAAATGAACCCCTGCATTAAGCACGCATCTCTTTCGTGACTGAACCTTACAGCTATGCGACTGAAGCCGCTTCTGCTTTGGCAACGACAGCCTCATGTCACGAAATCATGATTTACGCCCGGCTGCGACTCTTCATCTTCTCAGCATGTTCTCTTTGTTTCCCTTCTTTGTTCGATCTTCCACGTCGCTTTCCTTCCCAAGCCGACCACTTCATCGTCCTTTTTCACATTTTCCTGCGTCTTTGGGGAAAGGCGTCTCGTGGACGAAAAATACGAAATCCTGGCGAGCATACGTGGGCATACAGGCTTACAGAGCTTCTGTTAAAATGTAAAAGCGGTATGATGTTAATGTTTTCAGGGGTCACGGGCGATGGAAAGGAGAATATAAGTGGCTGTTTGACATCTTGTGGATTTGAAAACCAACAGAACTATCGTCACTGCTTCATGGCGGGTGTAAATATGTGAGGGTGATGCCGATTGCGACGAGTCTACCTATTTAGTTCTACACCCTTTTCCTAACACAACACTCGTTGCACTGTTACTCATATCATATCCACTATGCTCATTACAACCTCGTCCTACAACTTTGATGCCCATCACTACAGATACTAAAGCAGCTCGCTCCCCCCTCCGGTAGTCACCCGTCATCTCAGGATATAGCGCCTGTAACCCTTCGACGAGCACACGCAACACGAAGCTACAGTCAACCGAAGTTGCCCAGCAGTATAGCCCAATGGTGTCTACGACCGCCACTCCTCGTCCGCGAAAAGCGAAGAACCGCCCATGTTCTCGTCCATGTAGTGTCGAACGCTGGTCGTCGAATCTAGCTCGTGATTGAGCAGCAGGTATCGATTGCCTATCAAGATGTCAGTAGGTACAGGAAGTTGTTGAGTGCGCCATCCCAGACGCGGCTTCAAGTGCTTTCATAAATCAAGGCTGTAGCGCGCTGTTGTCGATTTCCCAATCTATATTGCTGACATGTACAAACGAAGAAATGACGTACTGCTCATACATTAGCGAAATGTCTTGAATGTATTAGTAGTGCGAAACTGACCCGATTCCAGCATGCTTGCCGCAGTCAACATATCCATCCTCAGTAGCAGGCATACCGAGCTGTTCTTGAAGCTTCTTGCGGGCCGCGGTGATGACGACGAGCTTTTTGATCTGCTTTTCTAGGTCGTAGTGTTTGCCGACCGCATGCGCTGACCATTGTTCCTGCAATAGCTCATTAGCGAATTGCCGATTCGGGGTAATGAATACTGAAAGGGAAGAATGTGTCTTGTTGCCCAAAGTACATACAAGCGAAAGTTGAGCCTCCTGCCTACGGACGCCATTTCGAACTGATTGGAAGAAATCTCGCTCTTGCCGATAGTGGAGAGCTTTGTTGTTGTATGTCACGGCCTCGCGCTGAAGGTCGTCGCAGAGACGCATCTTCGCGTGCTCCTGGCGCTGCTTGTCTTGCCATAGTTTGCGGGTACGTTCTTCGGTATTGGTTGAGGACATTGCGGTGAATCTTCGTCGGGTTGGCGGTGGAGTAGGTAGTAAGGTTGAGGGACTACAGAATGGTCAGCAATGTAATCCCAGGAGATTTGAGCTTGTAGGGATGACCTTGAATGACTTGTGGTTGTTATAGCGTTGCTCGTGAACAATAAGTTGAATCTATTGGAGGGTGGTGCTTTCTCTTTCTAGAAGTTAATCGAGGAGCAATGAAAGATTGAGAACCTAGTTCAGTCGGATTCGTCTGAATCTTTCACTGTTCACAAGCGCTGGAATCTTAGTCACTGCGCGAAGGCACCTACTTATGACACTGAAAGTTGCGGTTGTATTAGCGAGGTCTTGAGCGGATGCTTCGCGGTATGAGAGACGCTCCATAACGCGAGCACGTCGGAGTAGAAACTCTTGAGCCGATGGTACTGCGTTGAAAACCTTGTGCACTATATGAGTGTTGTGCGCAACAAGTCGACTGAGTGTAGTCTACTAAGACGATCTGCAGGTGAAAGGAAGAGACCGAGTCATTCCTCAACCTACCATATTGTCGCGCCAATAACAGCATGTCATTTTGACATGAACGGAGGATTTGATGCAAGACATTTCGAGAAATTGACGTAGAAGAACGCGTGCACATGGCCTGAAGTGTGGACAAACATTGCGGGATGGTGGTCGAGAAGCTTCCTGCGGTGAGTCACCGTAGCTCTGCTGGACGCCGCATGCCTGCCACACCAACAGCGGCAATGCCATGCAATACTGAAGTGTCTCGCATTTCCACTGAGGTTAGAATAAGGATCCAGCTAAACATGGGCAGCAGGGCCGAATGCGCCAGTTGTCATGCGTGCCGATCCGTGGTAACTCTCGGCTCGTCGGGGGGATGGTGCGGGCGACACTAAGCCTGTTTCTCCACTAGCCCTCCTGCCATTGGGTGTCTTCGCACACATGCCACAGCGACCCTCTTTAACCTCTCAACCCTGATTCCTCTGCGCTGCGACCGACCGAAAGCGCCAATTACTAAAGCAGCTCTATGAGACCCTTCGTGCCCCGTCGCCGTGATGTTCATCGCACCCGTGCCCTCCTCCATCACCGCCTAGGACTTCCCAACGAACTCGTCCTCGACATTCTGGACAAGGCTCGTTACTGGGTCGAGCACGTCCATGAAAATGACAGGACTCTCGTGATTCTGGACGAAGAGTTCTCCGACAACTTCTCCGCTGCGTCTCCCCTTATGAGGATAATCTTTGACAAGCCCGAAACCACGCATCACGAAACGCCCAGACTCAAAGAGATAGAGTTTCTGATTGTCAGTCACGACCAGGGCTGGACAACAGAGGGTACAACTGGCACATACAACACCTCTTCATGGTTTGAGGTCTCTATCGTGCGCCCGCAGTTTCCGATCGGCGATATGGACGATGAAACCGTCGCTGAAAACTTCGAGGACAACATGTACCCCCAAAGCAACATCCACAGCGTCATAGACAGCATATGCGGTGACCTGGGCTTCAGCAATGTACCACGCTCGCCATCGACTACGGAGCCACAGAGGTTACACTGCGACGAGATGCGGGCTATGACGTTTCTACATGATGACCCGTCACGCCCGATGGGTATTGAAGGTCAACACGCTTGGTATCTGCAAGGCAACGAAGTCGCAAGAGCCACGTCTGTCTTCGATGGCGACTTCATTCGAAGATATCGTGTTGTCTGGGGATGTAGAGAAAATCCAACATGGGAAGGCAACGAAGGCTCTGGACGTGGCGAGAACTTAATTGACTCTCTACAAGATGGCGATTGGATATGCGTATGGGCAAGAGCGAAGGTGAGCGGGTTTGCTTCAGTGTTATTTGCATTGACTAATATAAATCAGAGAAGAGGATGGGAAAATCACGTCCATGGCTTACGTGTCACCACGCGCTACACCGTATAGCCAGTACCAAACACGCTCATAGAGTGTGCTTTGATACATCTTCATCTACGCAACTACCCGCGTACTGTAATCTCCTTAGTAAGAGAGGTCACTGTATTCGGTGCCACATGCATCGGAACGTTTGTCCGCTTGTAGCTTGACGTCTTCCGGCATACCCTCATCGGAGGCATCAACCCCATGCGACAACATACCCTCTTGTTCTCCAGAAGCGACAAAATCACCAGTAGCATCATTGATGTCAACTGGTCCTCCGCGGACCTTGGCTCGGGCTTTTGCGATGTGCTCAGCCTTCGCACGATCCCGTTCGTCAGCTGCCGCTTTCAGCTCCGCCTTGAAGGTACGAGCAGCGGCCGCCTTTTTCTCAAGTGCGGCTTGCTTGGCCGCCTCAATCTGGGCCTTCCGTTCCTTGCGGGCTTCGGCTCCACCCTTGGCTGCTTCGACCCGCTTTTCTTCGGCCCGTTCAAGCTCGGCGGCGCGCGCGCCTACACGAGAGGACGGTGCAGGTGTCGGCGATGCATCAAAACGGGGTTTTCGGGCAGCAACATCTGATTTGATCGATGACGATATGCGTGCAGGAGCAATTGACTTTGTGGGCGCACATGGTGTCTTCGGACGATGTTTCTTCGCGACTGGCGTTGCGGGCATCTCTGTTGTGCGCCTCGGTGTTGAAGGCTTTGCTGGCCGCTCTTCATGCTCTCGCTCACGAGAGTTCAGCTCATCCACGTATTCGTAAGTGGCGGTGGCACATCGAGCCTTCATCATAGGATCGGCTGCGTTCTCGAGCTCGGCTTCTTCCCAGATCTCCACCAGGCTCTTGAGCTCTGTTGCACTCAGACGTGCCTCGGCCTCACGACGTTTCTCGCGCAGCACTCGCCAGTATTTGACTTGCTCACGTACCCGAGCGCGCATCGAGTTCTTCTGCTCCTGTATCGTAGGCGCTGTTGTGCAGTGCTCCAGTGTAGGCTGAGGATAATGGTGAAAGGCAGAGGCTTCGTCAATGACCTCGTCATCGTTCCCTGCAAGCTCAGCGTCGTAGACAGCTTTCTGGCTCTGGTCGTCTAAGACATTAAACGCCTCATGAATTTCACCAAGCACAGCAGCACGCGCGACGCCCTCGGCACCGGCCATCTCCGGGAGCTCATCAAAGTACTTCAGCACCAGGGCTTTGTACGCTGCACTTATGACTTCCGGTGTTGCGTTCGGGGCCAGCCCAAGTGTTGCATAGTGTGTTCGAGTCTTCATATTGGGATTGGTCTCCTAGTATATCCTATTGGTATATGCGTCCAGTGTCCATGCCGTGTACCTGGAAGCACTGATTTATATCCCTACTCCGCGGAGTGTGTAGACATTGTGTATCGACGACTCACTCTACACAACGTTACGATCACTACTGACACGCCCATTACATGTCTCAGACATACAGCAAGACAAGAGTTATTTGAAGAGGAGTAAAGGTTGCGTTCACAAAACAATCGGTCACGATGCATGGACGAGACAGCACAGAGTGGGTTTGGGGAAATGGACTTTGCCCAGTGCCTCCGGCTCAGCATTGCCGCGAGCTCACTGCAACCCATGGACGCCTCATGCAGATACTGCCCCACCCAAGCGCGGGTCTTCGCGATTACGAACCTGCGAGCAAGACACGGAACACTGCGCACTGGTATTGCGACGCTGTTCGGCGGCGCAGTTTAGGTAAAAGCGTGGAGGACGTTGACAATCGTATGAGAAATATGGCGCAATCCGACGCGATCGCCGTTTCCCATGGCTGCCAAAAAGGCAATTGTGGCAGTGGGGTGCGCTGCCCATAAGCGCATGCCGGTGGGCATTTGTGTGATTCTCATAGGGTGGCACACCATCGCGCCTGCAGGGAGCGAACGTCAACCCTCAACCCCCTCAAAAGGCCAGCGCGAAGCTCAACAACATTCCCCCGACCCTGAGGCCGACGATCAGAAAACGAACGACAAAAGGAAAAGACGCGATTGCGCGAGAACGCATGTTGCCGATGGAGAGTAATGTCGGAAACTTATCTTCAGCAAGCTTTTGGGCAGCCGACCTTCACCGACGTACATGCGAATGGGAATTCCTCTGGACGTGATCTCTTCGACATCCTCGACGCCGCCAATCTCCATCACAACCACGAATATGACCCCAGCGGACAACACCTACATTCACTGCACGTACAGTCTCAGGATGTCATCGCGCAGACCCAGCAATTTGCGTATGCATTGCACAGCAGTGGTGTGTCGGCACCAGGTAAGCGCAACCCCTCTATTTATCTCTATCCCATCAACTTCATGTACATCATCCCCAACGAATTCTTTGTCCCTCCCATTAGGCCTTTTGCCTACGTATGGACGGAATTCCTGTGCCTCTGAGTTGCCAGAGCTGGATGACGTTTGTTCGGGATGGGATGGCGTGCTCTCGCTAGCTGCACGTGATCGAACGCGGCGACGGGACTTGCGACAACTGCATACCTGCCTAGGGAGGTGTGTATGCAAGCTGTGCACAGACGCATGTTGTTGCGTCAATCGTTCGATCGATGAAATACCCAGCGTTCACCGCATCTTCTGGGCTGCTTTTTCGTTTGTCCCAGACAATGGTCACTAACGTCATTCTAAGGCCTACCGTACACCTCCGAGGCGCCTGCAATGCCGACCATGACAGGACACATCCCGCAACACTACGAGCACGACAGTGCGCTTCAGATCGGCTTTGATGATCTCCAGGGATTCTCTCCCGTTACACAAAGCTTCAACATCAACGCTTATCGCACGCCATACCCCGACAGCATCGCAACATCCACATCATCAGCCACATCACCCGAACGCACCAATGCAAGTCTCCTCACCGATCCTGTCGTTGTCGAAGCAGAAGAAGACAAGCGAAAACGCAACCAAGCTGCTTCCGCACGCTTCCGGCAGAAGAAGAAGCAGCGCGAGCAGCAGCTCATGGAGACGAGTCAAAAGATGCAAGACCGGACCAAGAAGCTCGAAGCCGAAAACGATGGGCTGAAGAAGGAGAACATGTTTTTGAAGAAGTTGCTCGTCGAGAAGGTGGATCACATGAGCGATGAGGATCGGGAGCTGCTCAAGAAAGCCGCCGAAGGCGCGCTAGCTGGAGTAATTGGAAAGAAGTCTTGATTTGTTGCTTTCCAGGAGTATTGGAGTGTTCTCGACGGATGATGTTCTTTCGCGTGGAATGATACACAGTGGATGTAATTGGAGGCTTGAGGCGTAATTCATATGCGATGTTATGGAGTTCATATACCAACCCTTTCAAGTTCTTAGCCCGCTCGATTGCGCTATGAGGGTAATAGGCGCTTGAATTAAGACTATAGCAAATGCTACCTCGACGATATACGCTCCATGTTTGTAAGCACCAACCTGGCTTGTGGCATTCGGTACAATCGCTACGAACCCTCATAGGGTTCGACAAAATCTGTCCGAAACCCAGGCAGATGCCAAAGATCACGTCGTTGCGCATTCCTCAATTCTCTTAGAGCACCTTCGATATCTACCCCCATGAAAGCATCTCCAAATGCCTGGTACTGGAGTGCACGCTCAACGGGATCTGACCATGTGTTCGCCATTGTTAGCGCCAACAAGCAAGTGCTATAGCTCTGCGTGCGGTTGTTGAGTAGTGTTGTCTTCAGCTTCCATCCCAGCCCACACACATTTGCTATGATCTGAATACGACCAGAAAGCACCTGGTTCTCGCGTTTCTCCATCTGCCTTTGAACAGTTTCAATAGCACCGGGGGCATCTGCAGATACCAAGCTGACGTGGCCATGCCCCACGAAGTGTGACTTACGTATTGCGCATGTGTTATCTTTGTTCATCTCTTCGCGCGAGTAGAAATACGACTGCAGCTCATATCTATTTACGCACACATCGTTTTCAAGCGTTAGAACTACATCTTTCATGAATGCCTTCTTAGGTGAAACCAGCTGATACTCATGCGTTGGCGGCGTGGGCAGAAGAAACACGATGTCTGTAGCGCAGTGCTGTTCATGGAAGGTCCTAGCACGGGACCGTGTTGTCAGTTACTATTCAGGGTACTCTCGAAGAGAACTTACCAAGAGCGAGTGAACCATGGGTTATCAATCATTTCACTCAGCAGCGTTCCGACAATTTGCACTCTTTCGATAAGGTACGATTGATCTAACTCGGATCGAAGGTAACTTATTAACCCCTCCCAACGGCGTGAAACTTTGGAAAGTACAGCTACGGTCATTCGACTGAAGCGGTAGATCCGATGCATGTCCTGCAAATGTTTCTCCACGTCGTTGGGATCGTCTTGATCAATACATTCCTGATCTATCCAGATACGCTCAAGCTTCGCGGTTTCCGCGTACTGCACGACGCGATGAAACACTATTGGTGGGCACCTGAGCAGTCTGGGAGGCTTCTCCAGGTTGACACCATCCCAGATACGATATACCGGGAAAGTTATTCCGTCAAGAGGTTGTGAGTGAGTCCATACGTAAGAAACCGCGATGTAATCGTAATCGTTTAGGTCGGCTAACCGAATTTCGCGAGCGGGGGTGAGTATGTAGTCAGACTTTGATCCACCTTGCGGATAAGGCTCCAGGAATCGAAGACGGAGTGGTCCTATTTCGTAGCTTTCGACAAGTGCGATGCGCTCGATGTCTTTGACTGCGACGAGGAGCGCGTCTTTGTTTCCGTGGATCTGCTGAAACGTGAGCGCTCGGTCGTCTTGCATGACTGCGGGTAAAGTTTATTAGAAAAGGATTATGTTGTAGAAGGTTAAATGAAATTCGTTGGGTGGCCAGCTCAGCCTTGTAGGTTTGCGCAGGTGGTGGGCAGTGCCAGTCGTTGTAGCGATTGGACGCCACATGCCCGAGTCTTCATCATTGACAATAACAGCACCCATCACTCGTTCATCAGAAAAGGGAAACTGCGCATCTATCTACAGTGTCAGACACTTTTAGAAGAATAGCTACGTCGCTTTACCTTTCCTGGACCTGGTACTTCATCGGACGAAGACAAGCCCCGCATTCGCCCGCTTCTAACCTATTTCGGCTAGCGGTCGCGATTACTCACCAAAGGACTTACGTGAGCTTCCCCTCGCTCTTGCGAAAACCCGAACTGCGATCTGACAAGGCTGAGGGGCGGTCATCGCAATCTCATGCCTCCTTTGCTCGGCCATCGCGTCTCAATTGTGGGGCTGACCAAGCTCGGTCTGCTCGGTCTGCTCGCTCCTGGCCACCAGCGCGATGTTGTAATGCTCCAATGGAGTGGTATGAGAGTGAGTACGCGGTGTGGTGAGATGGTATATATGCAGCAAAGTTAGGCCACGGACAGAAGCATTATCAACACATTATCAAACGCATTCAACACTCAACTAGACTATCAATTGCCTATCTAATTCCACTTCACGAGCTACACTTTACGTTCCATCCACATCTATAACTTCAAGCCTTCGAAATGGCAGCTACCATGCGCGGATGGCAGTTCAAGTCGGCATCCGGACCCATGGAGAAGAACCTCTCCATCCCTTCCTCAGGCCTCCCGATACCGACCATCAACAAAGACGAAGTGCTCGTCGAGAGCCATGCGACAGCTCTCAACCCCATCGATCACAAGATCCTCGAACTTGGTCTCATCACACGCATGATCTTTTCTGGGTTGACACCTGGCCTAGATGTATACGGCCGCGTCGCGAAAGTCGGCAGTAACGTCACAAGCTTCCAGGAGGGCGATATCGTATACGGTGGTCTCGTTCCGGGAGGCAAACATGGCGCTTTAGCGGAATACGTTCCCGTTCCGCAAAATCTATTGGCGAAAGTGCCACACGGCCTGAAGGGAGACGACATGGCGTCCATGGCGAGTACGGGCATGACCGTGTACGCCGGACTGAAGCCGTATGCTCGACCTGGCAACAAAGTCTTCATCAACGGTGGCTCGGGAGGAACTGGTGTCGCAGCGATCCAGATTGCCAAAATACTCGGCTATCACGTTACGGTTTCGTGTTCGGCGGCAAACATTGAATTAGTCAAGAGCTTGGGAGCGGATACAGTACTGGACTACACCAAGACACCGATCATCGAACAACTGAAAGACACCGGCGCCATGTTCGATCTCATACTAGACAATGTGGGGACACCGGCGAACCTATACCGTGCTTCAAGCGCGTTCCTGCGACCGGAAGGCAAATTTGTTCAGGTTGGCCTTGGCATAAATCTGAGTGCTGCAGTTCAATTCTTCGGCAACAAATTGACTAGCTTGTTCAGCTGGGGGAAGAGAGAGTACATCTTTGTTGCCGGGAATGCGAGTACCGCTGTGTTCGAGCAGCTCGCGACGTGGATGGAACAAGGGAAACTTCGCGCGGCTATCGACTCTACTTGGGAGTTCTCGGAAGTGCCGAAGGCGTATGAGAGGCTGAAGACAGGAAGGGCAAAGGGTAAGGTTGTTGTGCATGTGAAGAGCGATTGAGGCAATTGGGGATGTATCATGCTAGATTTCGTTCAAGCGAGTCGTAGTTTTAGATCTTCTTTCCACTAATAACATTTTCATAATTTCAATAACATTGAGCTCTGTTATCTCTAGTTACCGTGCTGTTGTCATGGCTTCACATTGCCGATGCGTTGCTAGTCCCGACTCCCAGTTGGCATCTGACATGCCGTCTCAGCTACACCAAGCCCACATCTGCGTTCTTCGCAACTGTTGAGGCACTCGGATGAGCCCCAGATGACCTTGCTGACCTTCATTCGACTTCCCCACTTGCCGGTGTAGTGTAAAGAGATGATTTTAATATACCCGACTTGGCAGCTGAGCTGTGGGAGCTTGTGTGTGGCACAAGCTTCCTCGCTATGGTGCGCAATGCGAAGAATCCGACGAAAAGTAATGTCAAAATTATCGAATTGATGCAAGTAAGATTGGAATGAATAGAATGCGGGGAGGTGCCTAGAGGAAGACGCAGAAGTTCGATCGTATTTCGGTTTACGGATGCGAGAGGTCGAGAGTTGAAGGATATAAATGTACACCAAAGTCGAGCCTAAAAAAACTCTCAACAACGGGACCCAAGTACTCCAAATCTACTTCCGTAATTTACAAATATCACCACTATGAAGCTCGCCGCCTCTCTCATCGCCCTCCTTCCGCTGGCCGTGGTCGCAACGCCAATTACTTCTCCCGACCCTGCCGCAGAGGCCGTCGCAAACCTCCTCCCTCGAGCTACGGTGTGCTACCTCAATTCCGATGCCCTCAAGAATGATCCTCAGGGTTGCGACACCAGCCCTACCAGCGGTGACCGCCGCCGAGGTGTAACGGGTGGCGACCGCTTCAGCGTGAGTTGCACCAAAAGAGGCAGATGCGTAACAAGTGCGAACTGTGTCTGGGACTATGTTCCGGCTTGGAACTGTTACATCTGGGCTGGATGGACTCAGCAAAACTGCGAGCGTAAGTGTGATCGTTGTGCTGAGATATGCTTTGTTGAGACGTGCGGATGTACTGACGCGAACAGGTGGGCTGCCGACTTGCTAGTTCAATAAGGTGGTCTCCAGTATAGTGATGAGTATGGGAAAAGTTCATAGGATGCGATGCAATGTGGGGAATGAGTGACCTTGAGGAATGGGAATACACGTTCGCTTTGTTGGTGTGGAGATTGGCGCTGGGATGAGATTGCGAGAAGAGTCTATTATGAGATTGATCAATACAATTCGCTCCCTTCTCACAAGTCATGCTGTTGTGATTCTCCCATCTTTTTGATGTAGCGCCCATCTCTTGTGGTTATCTTCGGCACATCAGACCCTGTCGGGGTTCCAGTGTTCAGTTATCGGACGACTGTGTGTCACGAGTTGGGTACTCTTGCGAATATAGGCTCAACATGAGATGATCAGATAGCATCTGATATAAGGCGGCGGAGGACGGATAGCATCAAATCAAGGCAGTAGAGAGAAGATGCTAAGTGCTAGGGTCCGGCAAGATGCGGCATGACGCTCGGCTTGGCAAAGCAAAAAGTTCGGAAGCTTTCCGAAAATCACGAGCGTCAAACTTTCAACATGCGCGCCTTGACGAGAAGCATACAACCTTTCTCCGCGGCTTTCACTCTCCCGAAACACGCCAACCGCATACGGCTGTCGAATGCGACTCCCTTGCCGTCATGGACGCGCTCATTCCACGCGTCGGCGAATCTGAGGGTCGTCGACCTCGCGTATCGGCTCCATGATGACTCTGGCAAGGCGAACGGAGATCCGATTGTAATTGTACATGGCTTGTTTGGGAGCAAGAGGAACAACCAGGGCGTCGGAAAGTATGGAATCTCTTCCCGAGCTGTCATAGCTGGATTGAGACTGACAGGCTGTTCATAGTGCACTGGCACGCGTTCTCAAGCGTCCCGTATACGCCATCGATACGCGAAACCACGGCGAATCTCCCCACGATAAAGTCCACAACTATACCGCCCTCGCCGAAGACGTAGAAGCCTTCCTCCAGAAGCACGAGCTGAAGAATACGACACTCATAGGCCACTCGATGGGCGCGAAGACAGTCATGACCATGGCGCTGAGGAACCCAGACTGCTGCGCAAACATCATACCAGTGGACAATGCACCAGTGGATGCGGCGTTATCAAGCGACTTCCCCAAGTACGCAGAAGGCATGCAGCATGTCGAGCGGTCACAGCCCAAGAGCCAAAAGGAGGCAGACAAACTTATGGAGCCCTACGCGAAGGACCTACCAGTTCGCCAATTTCTATTGACGAACCTGATGAGGGGTGAGCCAGGCGCGCCGCTGAAGTTTCGCATACCCGTGAGCATCCTCACCAAGGCGCTCGACAACATGGCCGACTTCCCCTTCACCAACCCCGATGAGGCCTCGTTCAGCAAGAGAGCTCTCTTCATCCGAGGCACCAAGAGCCACTACGTAAGCGACGAGACACTGCCCATAATTGGTCGATTCTTCCCAAGGTTTGAATTGGTGGACGTAGACTGTGGCCATTGGGTCATTAGTGAGAAACCAGAGGAGTTTATCAAAGGTACGCAGATATGCTGAATTAACTCCTGGTCTAGCTAACACGTTCCAGCGGTGGTGGATTTCTTACAGGAGAAGGAGTAGATACCCAAACAGAATACAGGCAATACCACGTTATTTATAGACACACATACGACCAGCGGAATATCATGATCGTCTTTGTTGCATGGCAAAGCATCAGACAACAAATTTCACAATGTTGAAGGCCGGCTTGAAGAACTGGTTTTATTGTTAATGAGCGACAGGAGAACCAACGCCTAATCTATCCGACTCAACAGATCCGTCTACGAACCTCTTCTCCACCGTACCGAACACCCTCCCACCATTCGCCGCAATCTACCCCCACTCGATATCCCGACTACAAGGACTTGTACGATCCAACCCTGCCAGAGAAGCATTGCTCTACTCCAGGCTGGACATCCACAAAGTTACCAGCTCCACAGCCCGTGTTCACGTAGAAGCGAGCTACAATCTTACATTAGCCTGGTTCTGGTTCCCCCCAATTTCTGTCACATACTGGTTCTGGTGAAATCATTGATATACACCCTGAAGCTGCCATATGGCGCCTTGTACGAATTATCCGTGCACGTAGAATTCTGGAAGAAAACGTTGTCCTCGAGCCATGGCTCTTCGCAGCCCATACCGGCGTAGAAGCGGATGATAGCGACACCGTCACCGGGAGCCTGACGCTCGACGACGGTAGAGGGGTTGGGACGAGCGTTGACGCCCGTGGCCGCGAGAGCGGTGACAAGGGCGATGAGGTTGGTGAGCTGCATTTTGGATGTTGCTGGATGATGAAATCTTTTAAGAATGCTGGAAGATGGAAGATGGGTGATGAGAAGACAATGAGGTCAAGGACCTATTTCTTATACTTCCTCGCTGCACATCTCTGTTGGAACTTCTTGACTAGCAGTAGTTTGATGATGCACTAAGTGGTAAGATCTAACTCTCCTTCAAGCTTCAAACAGTCGGTCAACACCGCCACCAACTGGTCGTATTGAAGTCATACGCTTCCAAGCCGCCACACATAACCTCATGAGGTATCTTGATGATCCATCAGCCTCCGATATATGCCTCACTGCCCGTATCCTGGGTCAGAAGATGGAGGATTTCACGATGTGATACGAGATCCGATCTTGCATTCGCCTGCATTGTCGCATGTTCGAGGACCGGATTGGTTGGACTGTCCACATCACCAACGGAAATGCTGCCCGCGATCTCGTCTTGGCTCGTGTGCATGTGTTGGTGGATGAAGTAGTGGGAAGTCACTTGCGCATCTGACGAAAAGCTGACGGACTACTCTGAATCAACGATCTATACAGGAAACCTTCATTCCGATCTTAGCCTTCTCAATGCCGCCTCAAACTCCAGAAGACCGTATTCAAACGCGATAATGGAGTAACAAAAGCTCCTCCCTCAACTTTCGTCTGGCCCAGTCTATGCGTGTACTGCATACGCACCGTCAACACTACTTCTACTTCTACGCCACATATAGGTGCAGTGTTGATATCAACGCCACCAGTTCTGATGAGTAATTTCCTGCCATACACTTGGGCTATGTATAAGCTGACACTCACACAGCGGAGATCATTGGCATAGCGCACTTGCCCGTGCACGTGGCTGCTCACCAAATCCACAAGTAGTAGGTCAACACAACTGCTGTCGCCACATCTGCATCGACTGCGATCCATCGCGCCGAAAGGCCGTCAACCCCCAGATACTAGCAAAACTTCCTCAATAGCACAGCGGGTGTTATTGGGACCAGGTTACGACAGAAGTCCTTCGTTTAGATGCGCATAAAGAAATTGCTCTGAGGACGCAGGCCGCAGTCGCTTAAGCAACATGCATGCAAACGCGACGGCCCATCGCGCTGACGCGACACGGGATGTGTCCTCGTCGCGACCTTCCGCTCTCACTTTATACCACACTGTGATTTGCCAGACTTGAGGTTGGGATGAAGCTCGATCGCCGGAGGCTTACTAAACTTGTTGCGCATCTTTTGCGAGTGGATCGCGACTCCGGCTCGAGTCTTGGTGAAGGCGTGCTTTGGCACAACATCGCCAAGTAGTCGGACTCTGCGCATGACATGGCACGGAACTGTTTGTTTGGACCGCGAAAAATGAACACGAGGATGCCAATTGATGAGTTGACGCGTCGTACGCCTCATACCAGTTCTCGATTCACATCTCTTCCCGCATCATTCCCCCACCTTACACTTCCCCATGATCTAGTTCTTCCATCGCTACCTCCTTCTCCCGAATACTCACTTGCTATCCTCATCTCCACTCCATCAGGACCAACGCTCGCACCCAAGCTAGTTGTTCTAGAGCCTAGGGAGGGGCTGTTGTGGAACTTGGGATTGCGTGCAGCGTGCACGAGGTCCTGCATCTTTTTGCCAGGCATGGCGCCATCGCGAACGTAGGATGTCAAGCCAAGGATGACGCAGATGATGGCGAAGGCGTTGGCGAGGGCGTAGGGGATGAACAGCCCGTAGGCTTTGTAGTCGTAGCGATTCACGTCGGTAGTGAGTTTGACGGCTGTGTTGGCCATGTTGCTGTTTTGATCAGCTTACGATTCAATCGGGAAGCGTTCAATCACTTACGTTAGTAGCCGATTATGCATCATGCTGACCGTCAGATTGAAACTTAATTCTTCGATGAGAACGTCCAATGTCCGGTTTCTCGCCATCGCTTTGTCCTGTAGCCTCTGATCACTGAGCTTGAAGGCTGTTGACATATTCTGCCCTTTGTACAACACCTTCTCTTCGTCGAACTCGAAGTATGCATCCAGATCGGCAGAGCCCAACAGACTAGTACGCTGTATAGGCGAGTCGATGACACCGTACTGAGCTGCTGCTTGTTTGTCTGAGATACTCGTGTCCTTAAGCCATGCTAGCTTGCCGACCAGTTGGTCGCACATAACCCACATGAATGCCGTGTACGCATGATGAGTCATGTTGGAGATCTCATCAGGTCCCTCGTCTGGAAACGAGATCGTTTCTCCGACCTCGTATTTGCCGGATACGTTCTGTAGCCCATGATACTGCGAGATCTCCAAACTGTACGACGCGTTGTGAGGTCGACAGATCTGGTACTGGCGTAATTTGACCCGCTCGCCTTGGTCGTTGATAATGGGCCGCAGAAACGTCATCCAAAGCTCGTTCATTGGCTTCGAAGGTACGTGTTGACGAGGATGCGAAACTGCTGTGAGGCCTCCGGTGCTATTATGAGTTGGCACGAAGCTGAAGTACGCATTATCCGTCTCTATGAGTGTACCATCCACTGTTGCCATTTCCTCTTGCAGGAAAGCGTCGATAGCATGCTCTTCCGTCTCATTGGCCTGGCTGCATCTGATTAACGGAGCATAGAAATCGACGGCGTAAACGGAATTGTTGAACGGCAGATCCAGCGGCAGTATTTCACCAAGGGATGAAGTAGCAGTAGCCAAGAGATTCATAACGGTCCTTGGTCCAGTAAATATCCGGTTCTTGTCATCAAAGTACTGTGTCGTACCGGGCCGACTGGGCGGCGAGTAGGTATATCGATGCGCTTCGCTGGCGTTTGCGATAGATGGATGCGGCATGGCTGCGATGATGTTTTCGACGTTGGTGCCCTCGACTATGAACAGAGTCGCAGGCGTGAAGAAAGGCGGAAGCAACAATCCCCTTGGAACACATTAGCGGAAAGTCGTTTGCCAAGGTCTACTACTTACCATGCCAGACAAGCCATTACCGATCCGACCTTCAGCCGCTTCCACATCTCCATGTTAAGCAAAGACAATACTGATGTATCAGCCCCGAAAGCTGAGTTCAATACCTTGAACGTCATATCCTTCTTCATTAGTGTCCTCCAGAGCCACTGGGTATATGCAGTCCAGACACTTGCACCGAGGCAGATCTGAGCGAGGAAGGCAAACGCAGTACCAAACCTGGCTCTGTTAGTGAACCTCGTAACATGTGTTCTTCGGAAGCGCACTACCTAATCTTCTCCTCTTGCTGATCAGCCTTTCCCACTATCTGGCCCTTGAGCTTCGGATAAAAGACGCAATGCGCAACACTCATCGCCAGACCAAAAAGAAGGAAGAAAACCATGAGTAGTGGAGCTTTCCATGCATGAATACGACGTCCTTTCCAACCAGGAAACGTTCGAGAGTCTTGACGTTCTGCTATCGGTCTGATTGCTGGAGATGGCGGTGCTTTAGGTAGCAGGTGCGCATTGGACCGTGTCGAGCGACTATCATCCATGACCTCTCGCGTTTCGACCGAAGCAATCTTCGTTAGTTTGGGATTTTCCATAGCAGCAGTGTCTAAGAGCCTCTGCGGCACAACAAAATATACTGGGTTAAGTGGTATCCGAATTCATGAGAGACAAAGCAGATGTCTGCTTCACTGAGCTGCAAGGAAAGCGTCGCATAGGGATCGGGACAACATAATTAGCAGAAGTGGCACCGAAAGGAACGACCCTCAATTGATTCCTAAGCGGCACGTTGGGGGCCGCTTCGTTAGGGTAACATCGGTTCAGGCTGATGTATGTCGAGGAAGTGGTAGCAAGGCTGAGCTACATTCTTACGAGCGGGTGTGTGCCTGCATATGCCCTGGCCCTAGGAGTAGGCGTATAGAACGCGTGCAAAATTGCGAACTAGTTGTTCGCTGCAGGCTATGCGCAATACCGAGACGAGTGTTACGAGGGCCAAGCCTTATTCTGTGCTGCTTATCAGGGTTTGGTCCTCACGCTGGTGTGTATTGAACGCGAGAAGGTTGCATTTCTTTTCTTGGCGGTTTATTATTATCAGAACCTCATACATAGTCCTCTGATAATCGTGGACACTGTTTGGAAGAAGATCGTGACAGTGTGTATGAGGTGAACGGTGGGGCTAGCTGCAGCAAGGTTTAGCGATTACGCTCAGCCACCACCAAAATACCAGGGGTGAGTAACATGGACACTGACTTGGAGCACAAAATATATTGAAAAGAGGCGGAGCATCAGGTGATATCAGCTGCAAATTCTGGGGACATGGTGGTCGTCCAGTCGTGATGTTCCTTGAAGCAACGTGAGAGAATGGGAACTGTTGATTGGGAGGAAGGACATCCGAAAAGACGACAATGCCCTGTCTTGACCCCAGCGAGTGTGATAGATACCGATTTAACCAGTGTCTTTTCGCAAACGTTATCTCGTGTGACAGAGCTTCTTTGGGGGCCGGTGAAGATGGTCTAGCCGAAGCCCAAAAGAGGGGGTGCCCATTCAACCCAACAGCGCCGTTCATGTGAACCAGGCATCCGCTCGCATCAGTACGAAAGCGATGCGAAAGTCTTGCCCGATCTTGAGCAATTATCAGCGGCTCGAATAGACATCGATTTGATGCTGACGAGTGCGGGTGTGTCCGCTTCCGGGGCAGGCAGACGTCGGGTAACGTACCCGCGATACCATTGGCCAGATCAAGACTACCGGCCATGCGATAGTAGTTTCTGTGTACCAAGACTTGTGCAGGTGGACTGTTCCGGGAACGGCGAGGACATGATCCTACGCCCACCTTATACAAGAAAAAGGCTGAACGGGTTTGCAGACCACATCAACACGGAAACATGCAAGGTAGGTGGCCTAACGTCGGTGCAGGCTCTAGGGTGTTCAGGTTTTTCCTAGGTTGGGAGTCGTTGCCCTCCGAATGTTTGAGCCAACTGTCTCATTGCGGCGTCGAGCCCCAGTGGTGCCCAACGACGCTGCTGCAAGTCGTGTTGTGTGGAATGATACGTATTGTATTTGTTCCCTCCCTTGAGAGATCATCTCTACCGTTAACTTGCTGCGTCAGCTGATGGAATTTTGCTGTAGACATCCGAGCAAGAGTTTGACAAGCAAACTTCTGTCTACGGGTTTGGCGATGTACCCCGTCATCCCTTTTGCAATGTACGACTCCGCCTGGCCTTTGAGAGCATTTGCTGTCATGGCCACGATGGGAACGTGGAGTCCATTTGCTCTAATTTCTTGGGTAGCGCTGAGCCCGTCTTGAACAGGCATGTTGACGTCCATCAGAATCAGGTCATATTCGTTGATAGAGGCCTTGGAGACCGCTTCCTTACCATCCGGTGCCGTGTCCACATTGTTGAACCCCATGCCAGCAAGCATGCGTGTCATGACCTTTCGATTAATGATGTTGTCTTCCGCAAGTAGCAAACGTTTGTCAGGAGCGACGATTTTGAGAGTTTCCATCGGGTCGGCCACCACGGGAGATGGGATGCTCAATCCAGCCAGACCCTCTTGTAGAACCTCCAAAGCTTTGAGCTGCTTGCATCTTTTGAGCTTGGCGGTAAACCAGAAAACACTACCTGGACCTTCTGGATTAGGGTGAAAGCCAATGCTTCCACCCATGCGCTCAGCCAGCGACTTGCAGATACTCAAGCCCAGTCCTGTACCCTTGTATCTCTTTGTCGTGGAGTTGTCGATCTGAGTGAAAGGCGTAAATAGTGTCTGTGAGCCACTTGCTGGCACTCCGATGCCTGAGTCTATCACTTCAGTCAGGATGGTGAAGTACTCTTGGTCTTCCTTTTGCAGTCGCGCAACTATTCGTACATAGCCTTGCTCGGTGAACTTTGTCGCATTAGATAGGAGATTCTGTACAACTTGTCGATAACGTAGAGAGTCTCCTTCAGCGGAACTAGGTAGGTTGTCGTCCATATCGATCTCAAGCTTGACTTCGGGTCTCTGGCAAGTCTGATGTGCCCGAAAGACAGATTGAATGATATCCTTTACGCTTATAATATCGTTACTGATAGAAAAGCTACCCGAAGCGAGCTTGCTAAAATCGAGAAAGTCGTCAATTAACTGAAGAAGCACGTCCCCAGACTCTTTGATGATATTCGCTAGCTCTTGTTGGTTGTTGTCCAGCTTGGTGTCCAGTAGTAGCGTTAAAGCGGACAGCATGCCGTGCATAGGCGTGCGGATCTCGTGGCTCATGTTGGCTAAGAACTCCGATTTGAGTTTCGATGCCTCCTCGTAGGCGGCGATAAGACTTTTCTCGGCTTTCCGTCTCTCCGTCAAATCTCTAGTGATCTTAGAGAAGCCGAGGAGGATGTTGTCCTCTGAATGAAGGTGAACGAAGTTAGTGTATGTCTCATATGTAGTGCGTCAGGAGATGCTTACTATACACCGGCGTGATGACAACATTCGCCCAGAACCTGGATCCATCCTTGCGAAAACGCCAGCCTTCGTCTTCACATCTTCCGTCGCGGAGGGCATCTCGTAATTCCCTAGATGGCTTATCATTCTCACGGTCTTCTTCCGAATAAAAGGCCGAGAAATGTTTGCCGATGATCTCGGCTGGAGTGTATCCCTTAAAACCCTGGGCTCCGGCATTCCACGTGGCCACATGCCCTGTCGGGTCCAGCATAAAGATGGCGTAATCCTTGATGGTTGCTACCAGTAACTGGAATGTTTCGTTCTGATAAGAGCGTTCCCTGAACTCAAGCTGTCGCTGATGTTCTTCGGTGATGTCGAGGAATTCCATCTGGATGCAGCGCAATATCCCGTGGCGCAGAATTGGGACTGCTCTCAGGTGCCAGGCGACACCCGTATCTGTTACAGCTCTCGATTGCTGGAGGCTGCCAGTCCGACATGCAGCGCTTACTAGCGCATGGGCTGGAGCAAAAGCAGGAATAGTGGAGGAGATGTCGAAAATGTCATCGGCATGTCGGCCTACAAGATCAACGCGATCTCTTGCGTTTGAGGTAGTCACATAACTGATAGATGTCAGCAAATAGCAGGAATTAGACGATCCTATTCACAGGCTGTACTAACGAATCTGAGACATGGCGCACATAGAGCAACGCATCTAAGATCACAGTCGGCGCGGGTGTGAACCTGATCAGGTCGTATGCAAGGCTGTTGGGATCGTAATCGTTGTCCGCTCTTGATGTCGGCGTCGGGAGATCATCAAGCACAAGTTGCGACAGCGATGTTGGCAGCGACCCCATGGGCGCGGACATAACTCCGAGAGGACCGAGCTAGCCTCCACTAGGCTAGCAGTGGACACTTGTGGTGTGTTGAAAAGGAATCGTACGAGTTTTGCATCAGAGTGTTAACAGCCGGGGTAAGACCAGGCTTCTGTGATCACAAATTCATCGTGTTGCTCCTGCCGTGAGATTCGTGTCACTTCCGCGGCAACGGCAGGGAATTCTAGAATGAGCGATACCGTGACGTCACATTCAGCCCCTCGTTCGAGAGCTACTAATCCGTTTATCACGACTCTGGAAACACTGGCGATACGCAAACAAGGCTTATCTCACGCCGCAGGATGCTACACTGATGTCTTCGCCTAGGACACACATCCGCGCCAGTTTTTCGCATCTAGCAAGCCCCACTTTTCCAAAGTCATGGTACTTTCTACCCTACACTGGACTGTCCCGCCGATGTTCAAACGACAGTCTTTTATACTATTCCAAGAGACCACTAATTTTCCTGGCACGAAATTTGTTTACAAAAGGCTTGTTCGCGCATACAAGCGAAGCTTGTTACTGTGGTACCTATGTGGCGTTTAGGACCCTCGGATGCCGGCCTACCTCCGCCAGACTATTCCAAAATATCAAGTATGCCAAAAGAATAACACGATCGAAATGAACACCAAGTATTTGGGTGTATGTTTCTTATGAGCGCAACGAGCATCGTTCAAGTATGCGGAAGGTTTCCAGGAATACCAAACTGCACACTTACCGCGAGTACCTTGGCACGATGTGTGCTACAACGTCTCGCAGCTTTACAAGTGGCTTGAAGGGTACTTCAAATACACTAGAGAATTGATACTTTATGGAGCAGGAACACGTTTTTTAAAAGCTGTTCGCGCACAACCTATGGGAACATGGATCGTCTCTCACCTTGTGATGATAAGCCTACTCATGATCACGACGACATCCACGCTTTCGCCTACCGACCGCCATCTCAGACTGCTATTAGAGCTGGTCAAAAGCGTTACACTGGGGTGGAGCGTTCGACTGACAGATTCATTGCTGTCATGACCACCAGTTCGACGCCTTCACCGAGCGGTTTCTACAACTATATATACGCAACCAGTCTCCAGTCTTACCTCTACCAAACACAACGTCGAACAAAGGTAAATTCATGGAGCACGTCTACATTCCAGCTTCCCACAACATCGTAATGGACAAGCGCGGCCGTTCGCAATCGCCGGCGCAGGCACGTAAGCGACATGCTTCGACACTTTCGGCAACAAACTCCACGAGCTCGCAAGGCACAACGTCAGAAAAAACTATCGAGAACTCAAAATCTCTCACTACACCATCAGATTCAGATGCAGAATCGCCGGAGTTGTCTTCTGCGGCTTCCGTGTCTTCCTCGCAGCATACTGGTGATGCTGAAAGCCCACCCTCACCTAATAATCATCCAGCAGCAAACACGGCACATATCTCTCCTTCAAATATAAATCCGATTAGCACTCCCCCAGAAGTCTCCAATTATGCAGGTATGGTCACGCCAGGTCCGCCAACCCCGGAAACACTCCGTGAACCGTCGCATGATGGTACAGCGGTGCACATACCTATTACCCTACATACTACCACAGAATCTTTTCCCATCTTCGCAACAGGCGATGTCTTCATCAAGACGGAACTGGTCACTCCGCCGAGACAATGGCAACTCCACAGAAACATTCTCACACGGTTTCCCTCATGGTTTTCAAAGTCACTTTCCAGCATCATGCTGCCCACGATAGGGCCGGCGTGGACTTCATACACTATTGAAGAGGTCGATGGCAAGGTTACATTAGTACAACAGCAAATCACCGAAGAAAAGCCAATCATTTCAGGTACCGGAAGTCATCATGATGCCGACGTTGCAATCAAGACCGAGCACGAGGATTCCGACTCAAGCATTCCCTTCTCTATTACCCCAGACCACACTTCCATAATCGACATCTACAACGATCTCTTCAGCGCATTCTACAATGTCTCCATAAATATCCCGACTACGAATATCGCCGCCTCTCTCACTCACTCCGAACAACTCACTAAGCTCGCCGAAGACCTGGGCTGCTTGGACAATCTTCCCAACCTAAGATCACAGATCAATGCCACCCTTCTCCAGCACCGACATGCGCTTCTGCGTGCAATCAAAAACGACCCCGCACGCTGGCTCATCCTCTCGCTCTCTCTGCACAACGAGTCAATCTACACAGAAGCACTAATACACATGTCTGGCGCACACCCCAGCTGGCCATGGCCGACCCCACGCTCCTCCCTCCCAGAAGAAATCATCCGCCTCATCACGGCCAAGAGCCTCGAGCTAGGCAAACGCTGCACAGAGATAGAGCGTGACCTGCTCTTACTTACTATACACGTCGGCCGCGGCGCGAGCAGCCACCCAGTGTCTCTTCTTGTCAACTCTGAATTTGACACTTGGTTCATCGTCTCGACATTCCGCTCCATCCTGGCTCAAGAATTCACCAATCTCCACGACGTCTGCAAGGGCTCTCTCCGGCGCGGTACAATTTACCGGAAGATCTGGAAGGGCGAGGGTTACATGCCGTACGAGAATATGAGACGTATGCTGGAACAGGTCATGCCCTCCGCAGTTGCCAGTCTAAGTGAGGATCTTGCCATCTTGAAGAGGGAAGCGAGCGCGTATGTGGAGGATCTTGCAAAGAACGAGTCTTTGCTTGATGTAGAGAGGCAGAAGGTGGGGTGGCTGACTTGTGTAAAGGTGGGGAAGGGGGATTTTCCTTGGAAGGCTGGGGAGGAAAAAGACTGACCAGGTGCGCTGCTGTCTACATCAGTGCCAAACCTAAAGTTTGCAAGATCCCAATGCGATGTAGACTTCTGGGTCATTTACTTGAACTAAGGGTAGGTGTTCAATTTGCTCCTTGGGCAAGGTGGGAGGGACCTGAGTGAAGAACTGGTGTCAAGTCTTTGGTCTTTGAGAGCGCCACTGGGGTCTCCAAGGTGCAGCCAGAGGTGTGGTCATTGCGGATTCGCGACATGGAGGACACGGCACACCTCACATCTTGAGTTTTGATCATTGTTCTTGATCCATATCTTATTCATATTCGTACACTCACGTCCAGAAGCATCCAAGTCATATAGATTCATGTCCATAACGCGTAAAAGGGGGTATCATTCTTAGGCCAATAGAGAAATTTACAAGCAACACATCATCTGCGTGACGTTCCTCCGAACCCAGTGCTCTCATGCCTGGTGCTGGAAAAACTATCACCAGACGAACTCCTTGAGCTACCTTCTCCACCGTTGTTCCAGCGACTGCCACTACCGTTTCCAGCGCCCCAGCCGCCCGTCTGGTTGTTCCGGTTGCCTCTGTTGCCAAACTGGCCCGCAGCCCATCCAGCAGCAGCGCCACCTGCCGCACCAGACCAGAAGCCAGGCCTCCAGCCTTGTGCCGGTTGTGTCGCGCCGTAGCCTGACTTGGGGTTGCTGGGATTGTTCGGGTAGTATGGTGGAGGCGGGTCGTCGTTATCGTCGTTGTAGCCTCCTCCCCATCCACCGCCGCCGCCACCTCCCCAGCCAGGTCTGTTGCCTCCTGCTGCGCCGCCGTCTGGACCTTGTGCGCGGTTCCTCAATGCAGAGTATATCATCCACAACACGACACCACCAAAGAGCATCCAGAATAGCCCGCCTGCAATCCTCTCGCCCATGGTTTTCGGTCCGTCACGTCGATCGTCATCGTCGTCGTCGTCGCCCTGCCATCTTCCTCTTCCCTTGCCGTACTTCTCTTGGCCTTTCTCCGTGAGGACAAGACGGTACTCTACTCCGCAGCTTCCTTTCAAGATGTATGGGTCTTCGGGGTAATCGTAGCCTTCGCAGATGACGTCTGTGGAGCCGAGTTTGAATTCTTCGGGGAGCGAGGCGGTACAGGTCCACTGTATGGAGTCTTCGTCGTAATCAGAGCCGCTGTTCTTGCAGCGCATTATCTCGGGTTCGTAGAGGCCGCGTGCGGAACCGCCGATGCATTTCAGCTATCATGTGTTAGTAAGCTGTACGGAGGGGTAGACGGAGACGCGTAGGATGAATGCGTACCTGGGGGATAGGGTCAACGCGTCGCGCGGAAGTCTGCTGTCCTTTGCGCAGCGTGAGACTTTCGATCTTAGCCAGCTTGACTTTGTCTGAGCGGAGGGCTTCTGCGCCACTCGCTGCCAGCAGCGCAGGGTAGAGGAAGCTGAGGAGATGCATGTTTTCGCAAGGTCGTGGATCAAAAAAGTGTTGGATAGGGATGGTTAAGACAACTCATGTACCACCCGCGTGGCAAAAGCATGTGAAAGGACACGGTGGAGATGCCTCGTGCTTTGGGGCTGTGAATCTAGAAGCTGGCGGCGCCAGTGAATGCCGATGACGCGGGCACCGCCGAGGCCTGTACAGGGATGCACATACGCTAGGATCGCTTCTGCACTAGCTTGCTTTCCTCACATGCCATCGCGAGCATCACGCGTGGACAGACCTCGAACGAAACCTCCATCACAACAATCATGAAACAGCGAATAACTTATGTGGTGACGAACCCAGAGGAGTTTACTCCCGATCAACTTGATGTCGGCGAAGACAAATCTGGTCCATACTTTGCTTTGGACAATGTCCATGCTGCGAAGGAACACCGTATCACACTCGGCCTGAATGAGCTACCTGAAGAAGTATGTACAGCACCCACTCTCATGTCCACCAAACGAACAAACCCGTTTTAACGACACGTAGATAAGCAAAGTCTTCCAACAATGGCACGAACTACATCTGCGCTGGACATCTCCCAGGCCTTACGCATCTAGTCCGCCATTCACATCACGTGTCTCACCTGGTCTGTATGTCTTCTTCACGCCTCTATCAGATACGCCTGATGATGCACTATGCTCAAGCCTCCACTCCCTCATCTCTTCGGACCTGAAGTGTTCGTCAACATCATCCAGTTCCACAAAGATGCCAGTCCTCTCAGAACGCTTCTCAATGTCGGCCACCTCGCAGTACTATAGCTACTTGGGTGACGTCAACAGAGTTAGGAGTTTCTTCCAGCAGAAGTTTTGCAAAAAAGATGGAAAAAGCTATTGTTTGGATACGATTGATGGCTTTGCTCTGTCAGATTATGTCGATGTGGACTACGATACTATCTCGAGAAGCGTTGTTCTGACAGCCGAATCTTCCAATGCAGGATCCACCAACGAAGGCTGGACTGAGACAATAAGGCTACCGAGTAAAGAAGCGACAGTGGAGATTGGAGTATTGAGTTTAGAGGGCAACGCCGATCCCGAAGATGTGCAGTTTGGAGGTTTCTTGACGGTGCTAGGACAAGACGATAAACCGAGTACGTATATTGCTCCTACTACACTGTCTTCACGTCATCATGACAGCAAGAAACTAACGACACACAGAACCCACGCGCTTCCAAACCCTAACCCGGCACTACCCTCTCCTCCAAGCTTCCAAGAACCCAACCGCTCCACCCAAACTCCACCCCCTGACCTACAGCACCTCCTTCAACCAACCAACCGGCCTCCACCCAACCCTCACCCTAACCTTCCCAGCACACCACCTCACCCCGCCAGACCGCTCCTGCAAACTACACACCCACCTAACCCTCCCCTCCTACCTCTTCATCGACAAGTACCAATTCTCCGACGCCCTGTTCCTCGCAGACAAGAACCTAAAGCGCCTCCGCAGTCTAGCCGGCGCTACCGATCTCGAAGCTCCAGACTGGGTTGTACCAGCTTGGGGCTCCGCAGCGCTCTTTGAACTCGCCACACCTAAACCGGAGAAGATTGAATATCCCAAGGTCAGTCTGGGTGATGGGGAGGAGAGCGTGTGGGAGGACTTGCCGACGCATCGTGAGGTGCCGGAGGGGGATTGGAATGTTAGCATACCGTTGCATCTGCGGTATATGCCTGCTCAGGCGGCGTCTCATGCTAGACTGCCTGTCCCTTGGCCTGTTGTGTTCTGGGCTTGCCGTGCCGATTCGGGGGCGCAGCATACTACCAATCCGTTTGATCGCTTGCATTTGGGGTATGAGGGCTTGTTTGGACCCAAGACTAGGTTCATGCATGTCGAGCCTAAGGCGTGGAATCAGACTGGATCAGGTGGATTGGTGGAGTGGATCGACGTGCCGGTGCTTGATACGAGGATGGCTGGGTGGGTTGAGGGAGGGACGGTGGGTGTGGTCTTGTTCGCGTTTGTGGGGCTGTGCTGGATGTTGTTTAGGAACATTGGGAAGGGGGATGTTGAGGATGAGAAGAAGAAGCAGTAGATAGGTCACTGGTAACAGGGGGTATTGGTGGGGGTTGAAAGTATTAGATGTTATTACTTTTCGCTGTCAACTCAGCGATTTCATTTGGGTATCTTTCAATCAAGTGCTTTGCCCGCCACATGCTTCCTCGCTACTTTTCTTCCACATCTCATACCGCTGCTATCCAATCGCGCAATGCAATATCTCACAAACCATGCTTCATATCTCCGTTTCCAAAGTTCAGACTATCGTAATCGGCGCGTTGACAGGCATGCTCGACATGATGGGTAACGGTGTTCCAGGGAAGATAGGATGCAGCGCATAGACAGGTCCTGAACTGTCCTCGCCGTCGAATAGCATAAGGTTCTGGATGGGCTGTTCACGTTGTCCTAGCACGTTGATGACATCTTGGGCCAGCTGACCGCCCAGGAAAGCCGTGACGGGTGCCAGTTCGCTACCCAGGTTCTGAAGGAAGCTGCGGAGGACTTCGGCTTTGAGAGACTCTGCAGGAAGAAGCAGTTCCTTGTGCTTCTGGTTCGCAATGGTGGTGAAGAGCTGAAGATCTGTTGGTGTATGCGAAGGGTAGATGCCGTAGCCCATGCGCTGGTACTCCCACAATGCGCGTACACAGGTGAGTAAGGGATGGACTCTCTTCAGCCTCCTGGCGTTGTTTGCAATATCCGCAGGGAGTGGACTGTCCTTGACCAGCATCAACGGGCTGTAGAGCTCCTGCTTGTTGACCAGCTCGACCACCTTTCCGTTCTCCTTCTTGACCTGGACGCTCTTGATGCTCCTCGTTGTGCTCTCAGCGCCGACCTGCGTGTCGCGATTGCTCTTCTCGCGCTCGATAACGAAGTTGTGCTCGACCAGGTCGGCGAAGATGTAGCCGTACATGCCGTGCGATGCGCCGGCGTAGAAGGGTTTCCGTGCTATGCGCGCACCGGCATTGAGGGCGGAGGTGGAGAGGAAGTCCATGTCGGTGCATATGATGATGTCGTAGGCGGCGTAGAAGTTGGGATCTTGCTCGTTGCGGATGTCGGTGGTGAGGGTCTTGACGGTGACGCGCGGGTTGAGCTTCTGCACCTGGGGCAATGCTGCCTCTGCGCGGTTCTTGCCTACATCGGCGTCGCTGATCAAGAATTGCGCGCCCAGATCATCTTCGGTCACGACTTCGTGGTCTGCGAGGGTGATGGAGCCTATGCCGGCGAGGACAAGGTTCTTGGCGACCTCGTTGGCGAGGGCTTTGATGGAGACGAGCAGGATGTTGGCGGTGCGGATCTTCTCTTGCGCCGCGACGCCCCATAGGCGGATTTGGCGGTCGTAGAGGGCGATTTCATCTGAGCGCGGAAGTTAGCACTGCTGCAACTGCCATTGCGTCGCGCTTACCTGCGGATATCTTGTCGGCCTCAGCGATGGCGGCGACTGTCTCGCCAGCTGCGTCCTCGGCAGGCAATGCAGCAGGCAACGCGCCATTGGTCACCGGCGGAGGTACCGGGGACGGCTCGGTGAGATCAGCCATGGTGTTTGTGTCGCGCGGGTGTGTATCTGAGGGTGAAGATACGCGTATGCGAGACGTGAACTGCGCGATCACTCAGGACAGTCAAGTTGTTGGTGGATCCAACAAGACGCTGGCTGCGTATGGGCTAATTCAAGCTGGACGGGCGTCTTGCAGATGGCCGAGTAAAGGCAGCTAGCGGTGACGGCATTACCTCGCACCCTCGTAGCCTGCCTGTGCGGCTCTGCGGTGGCCCGTGCGCACCCCGCGTGCCAACCACACGGGACCGACTAGACGATGCGTTGCTTGTTCGTCGCCTCAGCCTCGACAAGTGCCGTCTCCTACCCTCCCACCGTAAACTACTAGTCTCTCCTCTGCGTGTGAGCCTAACTACTCGCCATACCTCGTCTCCTCAATGGGAGCGAGCGCCGACGTCACCCATGCCCAGACCACCCTCCTCTCCGTCCCCACCGCCTGCGCCCTTCCCACTGGCCTTCACGACGGGCAGCTTTGACTTTCCCCATGCCTCGACCTCGCCGCCGACCGTCTCTCGCTCTGCCTCTACCAGCGCGTCCAGAAATGCGCTGCGCTCCCTAGCCGAGCCCACGCCCGCCGCTTACGATGCGACGTCATCCCCCAGAGACCCTGCCCGCCGCGTGCGCACTCGCACGTCAACCAGAAGAGGCCCGCTGCACCGCCTATTTGGTCCCCCACGTGACAGCGACGCTGCGGACAATCTGGCCCGAAGGCCGCCCACTGCAAACCCCAACCGACCTCGCGCCGTACCGAGCGAAAGCTACCTCCGCCGCTCTCAGGCCCGCACGAGGGAACAGCGCCTGGCCGACATGGACGCCACCAACGATGTTCTTGACTCACTGAGTGACCTACCGACAAGCAATCCCTTTACTATCTCGAATACACAGCCCCGCTCTCGTAGCCCCATCGTGCAACTCAACAGCGAGCGCCGACATAAGCGGAGGAAGCTGGAACATGACAGTAGCGCTGCTACGGAGTACATGTGCTTCAAGTACGGCCACAGGGGTCAGGTAGTGCCTGGGCGTCTGCGCATGGAGATCATAAGCTGTGACGGCGGTGAGCATCGCAGAGACAACCCACCTGGGCTATACAGGGTTCAGAATGTCTTGAGGAACGACAAAAGTGTATACTGTAGCGAGAGCTCCCAGTGCAATCTTCTCTTGAAACACATCGGAGAAGCCCCTTTCGCCTTGGAGAAGATCGTCATTCGAGCACCGGACCGTGGATTTACGGCTCCGTATGTGTCTCCGCTTCGTCTTTGATCATTGCTAACCTAACACCAGCGTTCAAGAAGGTCTTGTATTCGTATCCATGTCTGCAGATGAACTCCTATCCGGCACCTCAGCCTACAACCTCCGCTACGACACTCCATCGCCACTGATGTCTCCGACACCTAGTTCTCCAAACGAGGCCAACGAACACATGTCGTTGCGAGAGGCTCTTGAAGATCCTTCGGTGTGGCAATACTCAAATCAGGGCCCTCGCGAGGACATGGAGGAGCGCATCGAGAATCTTCGTCTCCGCAGTGAAAGGCTGAATGCCGAATCTGCGAACTGGATATCGTCTTTGCGCTCCGACTCTGAGCGTCGGCGGATAATGCGCCAGATGGTAGAACACGAAGACGAAGCAGAGGGAGACAATTGTGATCACGCAGCGGATGACTCTTACAGCGGTCCCGCTGGCATTTCTGCACCTACCCCACCGCCTTTTACAGTTACTACTGCTGCCAGCGAGGATGAAGACTCGGAATCCAACGAAGAAGTACCCAGTGCTGCCATCATGGCCGACCGCCTTCGAAGAGAAAGCCGTTGGCGTCCAGACAGCGACGACGATGACGATGAAGTCATTCCCCGCCTGGGTCCGCTGCGTCGCGCGCCGGCTCTCGACTACAGCACATACAGCGAATGGCGGGAGCGGAGAGAGCGCTATCTTGAGCCCATCCGAGCGTCTCGTGTAGCTGCGCCCAGCCGCATCGAACCTTCCGAACGAACCCATGACGAGCCACTCATACCCCCACATGCGCGCTTCTTCATTGCGAAGAACAAGAACAAGATCACAATCAAATTTCATCCTGCAATGTAAGTTTGGTCTGGTCACCCTAGGGGGCCATCGGTTTACTAACGCATTCTCCAGTTCGGGAAGACACGTCCTACTTAAGTTCTGGAGCCCGAAACACGATGGCAACATCGACATTGAGAGTGTCCAGTTCTACGGGTACTCCGGACCCCGCTACTTTCCGGCCGTGCAAGCTAGGTAGAGGGTACGTGCTGTTGTAAGGTTTTACATCACATCTGTCCTTTGGAGGATCATGTTGGTATAGGTTAGAAAAAAGACAGGCATGTCTCTCACAGTGTCTGTTTGGAACGTGCCCTAGTAGTAGTGTGTGCAGTCTTTGAGTGGCAATGATACCCGGATATGATACACAAATATGTGACGATTGGTATGGAGCATTGGGGGCTGTGTGGGAGTACTGGTCGTAGATGCAACACATTCTTTCATCATTTGACTGCCACTATTAATGAAAGACTATCAGTTGAGAGACGTGCCTGGGCCTGTGATGAGTGAGCAGATGTAGTTACCCCTACAGACTAAGCAAGAAGGAGCGGCCGGGGATAACCACAGTGCTGATCTGCTATTCCCGTTCGAGATCAGACCACCTGGACGCTGTTGCACTCACCTGAATCTCAAGCAACATCCACAACCACCTACCACGATAGCCACGTCTCAGCAACTTCCTGCAAAGTGAACGACTATCATCACGAGGCATGAGCGCTTACCCGCGCTGTATTGTGCTACAAAATGTCCAAGGATCCAATTCATATCGATGCGCAGGTGAACCTGCTCCCTTTTGGAGGAAATATGCAACGGAGACCGAGTAGTCGCACATAATACACGTAAGCAACGCATATCTACAGCTATTTGATCGGAATCACGCTAATGCGCACAGGTAGAGATAGAATTACAAGTAACCATATGCAAAAGGTATCTTCCGTGGTTGATGGACACACATGAACGCCTCGACGAACCCTGGCAAACCACCGTTATCGACTTACCAACCCACCAACATACACACCCAAAGTCCCTCACAAAAAGGCTTCAAATTCGAGCGCGAGCCCACAAGAACACATTAACGCCTCCGCAGAAACTGTATCGATGGCATCCATATGCCCGGTTCTGGTCAGCTTCGGCAATTATATTCAGTAAACGTCGTCGCCGACACTTCCTTCCGTCTTCATTTCTACGAAATTACTTAGCCTTCGTTCCCGACCGGTACTCCGACAAGCGGGTTGCTGTCAATCCAAGTTACCTCGACATCATATCGCCTGCACACTCTTCTGGGTTACTGGAACACATTCCAAATGGACGACTGCAAGCTCCTAGAAAGCGCCCACTGTTCGTCGTTTAGCAGCGTTCGACTATCCCGTACGTGGCGAAGGCTGCTGAGATCAGCACAGCAACGGGCTCAGAGCCTCGACTTTCCGTCTTAACGCTATTGAAGGCGGCAACGGCAACAGCGAACCTACACACGGCTCTGACGGCATTGTCTAACCTTGCGCTATGTTTTACCCGCAGTGGCTATTATAGAGCCGCCCTACTGGTTTGCCATGTCGCCGGTCATGCCAGTTAGAACAACGGTATGTTCCTGCCACGCCTCTAGCGTATGCAGCTAATGACGGCCTAGAAACCGTGGTAGCGCGGGTTGCCAAGACGACGTGGTAAAGCTATGCGCACTGGGAACTTCGCCTCCGAGGAAAAGAACGTAATGTTTGCCAGTTTTGGCAGTCAACAGAAGTATAGTATAGCCAAAGCTGCCGATGGTACACTATCTGCTGTTGATGAAACTCATGAACAAAACATGGGCATCATAATCACTGATAGACTGCTCAGTCTTCCGTTCGAGCCGACACGATCCGTTGCCCTCAAGCTTCAAGCAACGGACGATGTATCACGCTTGTTGTACAAGACGCTTTCTCGGCAAGATGCTAGTCGACAGCCTATCACGAGTGGGTTCAGCCATTCTTGGCCTGCGTAGCTTTACCAAGATGATGCCAGGCAGATCCTACTTCAGGATGCTCCATGCATTGACAGCCAAACAATTCGATGGCCACTCCGGTCTTTCCGTTGGAGCACTATCAACAAATTCTAATTCTAATGCTAGGTTACGCATTGATGCTTCGATGTCAATGAGATACCAGACTCGATGTTGGGAGGCTCTGCGTTCCTGAACAAGCCATTTGACAGCGAGGTTCAGACACCAGGTTTTCTGAAGCTTGGTACAAGCCATGACATGCTGACTTCAAAAGCATAAGTTTTTGCATGTTTGCGTCATACAGGGGTAACAGCTACCAGAAAGAAGTTCGCCGCCGACTGACGATGTTTGCCGTACAGCCGGACTAACAACGTTTCATGCGGCCTAAGCCTACGTTCTCCAGTTTTTCCTCCGCAAAGTCGGCGCGTTCTGGAGCAAACGACAAGCTTTCCGGATGATCGGCCGTGATCGCTCGGTTGCTCGGGTGGATCCACATTCGCCGTGCCAAGCACCAATGACGTCGGCCTGCGCTGTCTCCATGTCCATCGCGTGGCTCCGCGAAACCTTCGTGTGCTTCAATCGCTTGGCGGCATCCAGACACACTGTGCCTGGCCTCCAGGTTCGACCAGGACGACATGCAAATGATAAGTGTGATGTCACTTCGCATTCGACCCTTTCCATCGGGGCGCTATCATAACGTCTAGCAAACAGCAAAGCCAATGCCAGAGGTCGACGGTGCATGCCATCTCATCAAGTGCATGAGCGAACTCGGGTACGACGGCTCTGGTAATACCATGGTACCTGATTCCTCTGCAGAAGCCAGGGCGGAGACCGTCCGATGGGCGATGGAAGGAGGAGCACATTTGGTATAAGAGTCGCCATGCTCGACATGTTGAAAGCCCATCATCACAACAATCAGCCTTCTCATCATCTCCACTCGATTCAAAACCACTACACTCACTCTCAACAAGTCGAACTTCGATCACTCAATCAATCAACATGCTCTTCTCAAAGCTCACTATCATCTCCGCTCTTGCGGCCTTCGCTGCTGCTCAGGACACTGACTTCGACTTTGACAACATCCCCGCGGAGTGCACTGACGTCTGCGCACAAGTCGGTTCAATCACCAACGGTTGCAAGAACGACAGCAGTAAGTATCTCATCTAGAATCGAACAGCACGAATCTAACGAAGCCACAGACGACGACTCATCCGCCGTCCTCCAGTGCATCTGCACAGCCAACAACGCAAACCAGTTGATCCCACAGTGCGAGGCCTGCGTCAGGCAGTACAACGGCAACGACAACGACGACGGCAGCGACCAGTACCGTCTCCTCACCGACTGCGCATACCAGACCACCACCGTAGTTGGAGGAGGCGCTGGCGCAGTCCAAACAACGGCCGTCGACACCAACACCGTCACTGACACAAACACCGTCTCTGTCACCTCCGTCATCCAGACCACTTCGGTAGCTGTCATTGTCACCACCGGTAGCGACGGCCTCGTTGCGACCACCACCGAGACAGACACCGACACCAACACTGTCCCTGCCGAGACTAGCAACCCTGCTGCTATGAAGACTGCCGGCGCCGCCATGGGTATTGGTGCTCTTGGACTCGCTCTTGGTATGTTGTAAATCGACATCATGGTTTACTGGGACATGGATATTTATGTAGTTAATGACTGGAAGAGGAGTTTGGAAGCTCATCATCACCCTTGGAGCTTGGGAAAAGTCCAACGATTGGGCATGTAATGACTGTACATATAATGCAATATGTCTTACCTTACATCATCCCTCATGGAGCTACCGGACGTGATATGGAAAATGACGGTGAGATGAAATGACTTTCCAAATGGTTCATTAGGTATGGCTCACATGGGCTTTTTCATCCTGGACTTCGCGGCTACATACACTTATCACTACCCAGATGTACTCTGCATGCTTATGCCAGGAGGTTCTCCACTGGAAACAGACTATCAAAGGTCGACTTGTCAATAGGGTATGGAAATACATCGTCTTTCGTACCCTTCAATGCCATCATGCCAGATACCTCGTATGCGGCAAACATCCACAAGCTGGTATCAACGCTCTTGAGAACCAGGACCGTAGTCGGCAGACCTACTCCTCTGTATCCATAAGCATCGAAGAGCTCATCTTGACGTCTTCAAATCCGCGTCCAGAATCAGTAAGCCTGGCTTTCTTACCAGCGAGGTGGTGAGCTTGAATGAATTCCGGGAGATCAGCCAAAGCCAAGTCGCGGTATTTGGACAGATACGGCGCCTTGGGAAGAAGTTCACTGTACGCGATGCGACGGGTCTTGAACCACGTCTCGTTATGAAGGGCGGCGTAGGTACCAAGAGCAGTAAGTTTGATTTTGGGCAAGCTTTTCCTTTTTGCACCCGTTCTGGTTAGAATAGAACTCAGTGAAAGGGCATTGCTCGCATTCCCCATCAGGCAATTGCCTAGCGCCACACTGGCTGTTTCCCTACCACAATTGTTTGCTCACTTGTTTTCCTTTCTTACTCCCATAGAGCTCTTTTCTAGAATTCACAGGTGTCTAACCAAGCACGATGTCTTTTGGCGCGACTCCAATGCCTCCAGCTCCGGAATGGATGTCGCTCGAGAACCTCCCGCGGATTGCCTTCAAGAACGACCCTCTAGAGGTACCGACAGAAGAATCTGAGCGCGCCGAGTATGTCAATTCCACCCCACTGAGTGCTTCCACTGACCCGACAGACATGCGAACAAGGTCCTGCAGTCCAAGCTTGGTTGCGATATCCTCCTCAATTCACACGGACTCATATTCCCGATACATTCGGCCTGGGCGCTCGGTGGTCCAAATGCGGACTGGATGCTGAAGTGTCTTTTCCAGGGCGTACATATATTTAAACCCCAATTTCGTCGCAGATCAGTCTGCTTACACTCATGGCTTAGACTCCAGAGCACCCATGCGAGATAACTTTCCCTGTATTCTTTCCAATCGTTGTGGACCGTTTCGTCAACTTCCTCTATCTCCACGAATATCAGCGCCATGTCGACACGGAAGTTTCGAACATCGCGCACGCAGAGAAAAAGCCTGATTCACCCTATATCGACATCACCAGCGATATGAAGTCGGTGCGATTCGACCTGGAGATGCTAAGCTTCGCGGAATTCCTGGAATACCCGGCCTTGATCGACGCCGCATACGTCAAGTTGGTAGAACAGCTCCTGTCCAAAGGCGACTTTCCGCCAACGGCCATGAAGGACGTTGTAGAGTGGATACATGGTGCTGGCAAGATCTGTGAGGACAAAGAGGGCTCGCTCAAACAACTAATTGTAGCAGCCACCTTCGTGCACGGGCGTAAGTTCTGGGAACAGGATCAGCGTGACGAGTTTGTCGGCCTTGTTCAACACCAGGAAAGCTTTGTTAAGGATATGGCAGCAGCGACGCTAGCGCTACAGCAGGCAGGAGAGTCTTCTTGAGAAGGAGACATGGCGCTAGAAAGTAGCCGACTAGCCCTCTATCAAGCATCATGCTGATTATAAAGGGATGAAGACGTTTAGAGCCGTCACTTAAAATCCAGAAGAAGCCCACGTCTGAGGTTCAACAGTCAGGTAGAAGGAGAAGGCAGCTTATTGAAGCGGACAAAAGCGATAAAGTAGCCCAAATGAAAAGTGAAAAGCACACTCAGCAGTTTTGTGTCGCTTAAAGCGTCATCATGCGTGATGTGAGTGTCATGTTTCTGGTAAAAAAGTGACACGAGGCAGGAGCTGAGGACGTATGATATTAGCGCCCCACCACGCTAGCCATCAATCGCGCAAGCATCCATTAGGAACAACATTGGAATGCTGAGTATGCAGAAAAGGCATCTGGAATGCTATATGTAGCTACTCTATGCATCTAATGACTGAGCTGGGTATATCAAACATGCATCCTCTACCTACCCTATCTTCTCAACCGTCAACGAGCCCTCAGCACCACCCTCCAACGCAATGAGCCCACACGACTCAATCTGCTTCTTCCACTTAGTCGACTCATACCTCGCCGTAATAACCGTCAACCTCAGAACTGGCTCTTCTTCACTAGCGCTCTCGCCAGTTGGTAGCGGAACTGGAGTAAATGTCCAGCGACCGAACGACCAGTTCAAAATATATCTTGCTCGGCCCTCCTGTACTTTCTGGTGCGCGTCCGCATCAGCGTCCGATGATTTCGGCGGCGTAGAAGAGTACAAAATGCCTTTGATCCGGTATACCTCGTCTTTGGTTGGGTCTTCGAGGAGTTTGGCGAGTTTAGCGGTGTCGACACTACTGTTTCCATCCTGGCTTTTCAGTGTCACTGTCAGAACCTCGACTTCGCTGGAATGATCATGGTCATGTTCATGCGCATGTTTACTTCCGTTGTCCTCCGTAACACCTGCCAGCCTCGCATCCAGTCCGAACACAATATCCTTGTCCACCCACCCTTTCCTGCTCTTCGTCCTGGGTATTTGCGGTTCCACCTCCAGCGCCAACACTGCATCCTCAACATCCTCCAACCGTCTCTCGCTAACAAGCTCGTGCTTGTTAAGAACAATGAGATCCGTGTAGCGTGCCTGCATCTTGGCCGTGTAGCTTGTGTCTTCGTAGCCCTTCCAGTTCTCCACGTCAATCACACTCATGACGCCGTCTAGAACGTATTTGCCCGTTTCTCTGCTCAGTCGGTTTACTTCCATGGCGAGGGTTGCGGGGAAGGCAGAGCCGGAGGTCTCGATGACTATGCGGTCCGGGTTCACGTCGTTGGCGAGCGTTTCGAGGGCGTCGGAGAGCTGCCCGACGAGGTTGCAGCATATGCATCCATTGAGCAATTCTTGCACGCCTGATATAGCGGCTGAGGAGGCAAGCGCTGTGTCGACTTTGATGTCGCCATATTCGTTCTTCAAGAGCGCGAGTTTGTAGGTTTTGGGTAGTTGGGGAATTAGGTTTAGGATGAGCGCTGCGAGGTTGTTAGCAAGGTTATAACTCTTCTCGATGTGATTTACACGTTCTTGACGGCTTATACACGCGCAATGCGACGTGCTGGTACTGTGCTACTAGTTGCTGAAGAGAAAGCGGCAGAAAATTACTACGTACTTGTTTTTCCCGAGCCCAAGAAGCCCGTGATAATCGTGATGGGTATCATGGCGATGACGACAACAGCACAGACGCGTCGATCCAGCTGAAATCCCTCAAACAAGCAAAACGAATTCCAAGGTCACAGTCGCAAGGTTAGTCGCAAGGTCGCTCGCACGTGCAAGACGCGATAGCGGAGCTTGGCCTCGCAAAGGGACTAGTTTCAGGTTCCGCGATGGCGGGGTGTCTGATGACGTCGGCGCGCATTTGGGCGGGGCAGTGCCGACCAAGAACCAGCATCGCATCAGGTACGTCGCCCGTAGCCTCCTTGCACGCTGCGACACGCACCTATCAAACGCACTTAGCTCCAATACCAAGGCTTCTGTCACCAGGGACTAGATCTTGATTGACCCCATTGACCCATCGGTGCTCCCGTTTCCAAGATCAACCATCCCTGCCTTGCAATCAGCTGCTTAAATAGCTCTCTCTCTCCTCCAGTGCACTCGGCTTATCACTCATCACAACCTTACACGACTACTCTCACCTTTACTGCTTTGACTCTTTACTTACCTGACCTACCTTCAATTACAACAAACAAACATCATGGATTTCGTCAACAAGCTCGCTGGCGGCGGTAACAACCAAGGCCAGTCCGTCAACGAGCAGGTCGTCCAAGGCCAGGGCTCTGAGCAGAAGTCCTCCGGCTCCGGTGGCTTCCTCGGTGGCATCGGTGACAAGCTCAACTCCGCTGCTGGCGGCGGCAAGGAGAGCGAGAAGAACGAGGACTACCTCGACAAGGGTATGTTGTCCTCCATTCCTGCCCACGTCTACCATGCCGTGCTATAACTGTTTGACACGTACTAACTGTTTATACTAGGTGTCGACTTCGTCCAAGAGAAGTTCATGGGCCAGGGTGCTCAGGACAACGAGTCCGCCGTCGAGCAAGCCAAGGACGAACAGATCAGCGACTTCATCCGTGGCCAGTACAAGTCTACCACTGGCTCCGATATGCCCATCAAGGACAAGGAGACTCGTCTCGGTTAAGCTGTTGAGCTAGGACAAGGCGTGATGGTGGGTACACCATGAGCCGGGAGGACAGGAGATCCGCTGGCCATTGACTACGATCACAATAATATGGCTATGATAGTCATGAAATGAAACAATGACAATACACCACAAGCAAGAAAGTGATATGATCTTGTCGACGGTGATGTGATTCGTTTGCGCGATTTGAACATTTCGGCAAGACCCCAATTGACGACGCAGCGATGCGTTGTTGATACACACAAATCTACTGCCCGTATGCACCGTCATTAAACGCCTGATACTTCCACCTTTTCCCATGAACGATGGCCCGTCGCATCTCCATATAATACAACACATGCATATCTTACAGCTGCTCGATACCCTCAACAAGTCGATCAAGACTTGCTTCCGATCCCTCAGTCAACAAACCCTTCATCATGCGCGACCTGCTTATTGTTAGCACTCGTTCTCAGCATCTTCCGCCTTGGGTATGACTTACAAGTTCCCCAATTTGCAAGCCCCCATGCTCTCCTCAAGCTCCGCACTCTTCACCTCCGCGACATCAATGACCTTCTCAGGTACCCTCGCCAACCGCGCGACGTTCAGTCCATAAGATCGGTGGCTAATGCCCTCCGTGGCTTCGTACAAGAACACAACTTCCTTCCCGCCGTTCTGCTCTTCAAAGCGCATGTGGACGTTCTTCAGCTCTCCGTTGGGGAAGCGGCCTGACAGTTTGGCCAAATGCTGGTAATGTGTGATGAACAGCGTGAGTGACTGTAAGTCGCGGATAACATAGTCGAGCACTGCTTCTGCGATGGCGACACCGTCAAAGGTTGAGGTACCTCGGCCGAGTTCATCGAGGATAATGAGCGAGCGCGGCGTTGCGGATTTGAGGATGTCGGAGGTTTCGTTGAGCTCGACCATGAAGGTTGATTCGCCTTTGAGCATGTTGTCGAATGCGCCCATGCGGGTGAAGACCGCGTCTAGCATGCCGAGTCGCGCCTCCGTTGCGGGCACGTAGGAGCCGATTTGGCCCATGATGGTGATTAGAGCTGCAGATCGCACATAGGAGGACTTTCCCCCCATGTTGGGGCCTGTGATCAGTAGAGCACGGGTAGAATCGTGTGAAAGGGTGAGGTCGTTGGGGACGTAGTTTTCGAGGAGCAGTTGCTCGACCATGGGATGCCGACCACCAGTGATGTTGAGCTCGATGTCGTCTGTGAAGGTCGGCTTGACGTAACCTGGCTGGTTTGCCAAGGTAGCCAGAGAGAGGAGGGCGTCGAGTGTGGCTAGAGAAGCTACACAGTCCCGCAGTTGTTGATACTTGGACGAGATCTCCTCCAGCAAGCCCATGTAAGCTTTGTCGCATGCCGCCGCCAGCGACTCCTTGTACTGATCTCGCTCTTGTAGCATGCGCTTAACTTCTGGCGTGTGGAAACGCAGTGTAGTCTTGGTAGCTGAGATCTGCTGCCATGAGGCAGGTACTTTCTTCTCTTCGGGTGCCTTCCTCTTGACCTCGATCAAGTACTCAATGCCAGCTACAGTGACGAAGTCTACTTTGCTCTTCCCCAGCTTAGCAGCTGCGTCTTTTCGGTGCGTGTTGAGATCGTCTTCTACAGAGGCAATGCTCAATTTTAGATCGTTGATATCTTCGGCCTCATGTTCTTCACGGAAAAACGAGTACTTCTCGTCATCTTTTGCGGCTTTGGCGTTGATCCTCTCCAGAAAGCTGTTCAAGTCATCGTAGATCTTCGGAACATTCGAAACAGCTTCACTCAGTAACGACGAGGAGAAACCACTCTTTTCGGGTGTCTTCGCCGCCAAGTATTGGCTCGAAATCTCCTGCAGACTTTGCAAAGCTGCCAACAGTTCTGGCCTTGTACACTTCTTGTAGTAGATGCGGATGAGCACCTTTTCGAGATCTGTCCTGATCTTTCCGAGCACGAACTTGAGCTTATCGACAGGGATCGTGTTCTCGCCCTCCTTGAGCTCTTCCACCGCTGCTATGCGCTCTTCTAGCCTCTCCTTGTCTATTAGCGGGCGGCCAACCCACTTTCTCAGCAACCTCTGCCCAAAGCGGGTTTTTGTTCTGTTCATGGTCCAGAACAAGCTGCCCTTTGAAGTGTAGTCTGTTTGGTTCTGGTAGATCTCCAGACTAGAGAGTGTGTTTCCGTTCAGCAACATGTAAGACCTGGCACTGAAAGGCTGGAAGTACTTTGTGAGATCAAAGACATGTTCCAGACCGTACTCGCTGAGATATGTGATCATCGCGGAGAGGCAAATGGTTACATGCTCCGACAACTGGTGTACCTTGTCCAAAATAGCGCCTTGCTTTTCCGAGTCTGCTTCCTGGCTAGACTTCATCTTGC